AAAGGAAGACACCAGCTAGACGTCAACATCCATTTACACGGGCAAGACAACTGACCTGCCACTCACACTCACTGCAAGGAACACATGGACACACTGAATGAACACACAGGAAGATCAAAAATACCACGCCGATCCGTTACTATTTCCTTTACCACGTAAACAGACACAACATCACCAGGGGGCTTTTTCCCTGTGATAATCTAAGAAACACTGAAAAATCGTCTGCTTCCTGTTTGCAGTTTGGCCGGCGATCAGGAGACGGGCTGCTCACAGCACCGGCGACGAGGCCATATGCACCTCTAAATCATGCGGTATTACCACCACGCTGTGCGCCAACGAGCAACTGTAAGCATGATGGAAGACACCAGGTGATCTTTGTTCAACAGCAGACTTCATTAACACAATGCCACGTTAACGTTTTTAGTGGAGAAAGCCATTACCCTAAGATTATCTTCTAGTGCCTCTAGGTCTTTAAAAAGTGTTAGCGTGAAAGCTTTTTCATTTTTTGCAATAAATGACATAAAATAATGCAAATTAGATAATGCATTAATATGGAAGCAATGATGTGCGTTCGTAGAAATGCGTTCCATTTTCGGACTTACTGCCACTCAAAACCACAAATAGCAAGTAAAGAGTGGAATTACACTCACATGTGAAAAGGTCAAACTCTCGAGAGCCGCACAGGCAGGTAAACAAGTTGTTGGGCAGGAAAATGGAAAGGTCACTTTGCTGTATACGGAGAAAGCTCAAAATCCCTTTAGAGAAACCAAAAAAGACAGTTGTTCCTCCCTGAAATGAAGACAGCCGATGAATTGCGTGATACCTCCTCCGTTTATCCCCTGTCGGGCATCCGCAGCACATTTTATTACCTCAAAACATCATTCACAGATGATATCTGGGAGGAGAGAAAATTATATTCATTAAATATGCTAAATTTGAGAGCTGGAGCTGTTCTATTGCATTGTCATTTTTGAGGTTGCGGGGAGCATATGTGGGTGACGGCTGTGCGGGTCTTACCCTGCCTCCCCGGCTCTGTGTGTCACTCTCCGGGCGCCATAAGCGGTGGCGGGGAGGCGCCATGAAAGGGGGTGACTGTCTATCCCCCCTTCATGCTGTCCAACAGGCTGGACATGTGTGCACAGCATCTGTGTCCGGAAGACAGGCTCACACCAAATATTGGCCTGGGACACGACCGTTGGACAACCCACGTAAGAGGTTGGTGGCGGTAGTTGGGAGGCTCCCCTTGTGCCTGTGGTTTATGATATGGAAGCATGTAAAAAAAAAAGTGCCAAACCTGACCATAAGGCCCACATTAAGCCGTACGTATGCTGGTTTGAATCATGTAAGTCAACAGGAATTATTCCATAGAAAACAACGTTGGCCCATTAGAGGAGATGGAGGATAACTCAAAGGGTGGTTAGTAGCTCTTGTACTGTTGTGTGATACAATATATTGCTGACTTTGGTACAGCTAAAAGGACAAAACTAATTTGTCCAGTGAGGCCCTGAAGGCCACAGGCTGTGTGACAATTTAACGCAGCCACAAGCAAAATAAACAATATACAATACACGATAGCAATTACTAAAGGCAGGATGGAGCCCCGCAGCGTGAGTCTACAGACACACACACACACACAAAATGCTGAATGTAGATGTTCTGACGGAGGGCATAACTCTCCCGGTAGCCCCCGGGCAGCAGGGGCTGAGCAGCCAGCGGTCCTGTCAGAACAGTACGGCTGTGTGAACACAGATACCAAAGTAGTGTTGGAGTCGCCATGGAACGCCCGCGGCCTGACAACTGGAATTGGCCTCTGAAATGGTTGTTTACTTTTCTTTTTTTTTAAATGGAGGCTTCTCAACAGGACTTTTTCAAACACTATACATTTATTTTTCATGGAGGAAATCAACCATAGCTGCAAGCCATTGATTGCTTAATCTATAAAAAGTATATACCATCCGAAAGGAGAAATTCCCTTAATAGACGGGTTTGTTGGGGTGCTGTGCCATGATCGAGGCTCTTCAGATACTTGCTTAACCCAAACCAATTGTCTCAGCCTCAGCGAGCAAAGCCCGACGGGTCCAGGAAGTGCAGTGGGAGTTCATTATTACGCACGTCTTAGTCAGCTGTGGTAGCTCCGTAATCTTCTTTTATTCTCTCTGAATGGTGACATTTGCTCCACCCTGGCAGTTTGCAGTGAGGATTGTACATTATTTCAATATAAGAGTCTTGTTGTAGAGGGAAATACAGTTACTGGGCCAACAAAAAAAAAAGTGTTTGGAACCTCAACTGTTGTATTATTGGATGGTGCACAATATCAAATGAGCTAAATGCATTTTGAACGTCTACGTCCCCTAAAAGGTTTGCACACTCAAGTCGCTTTTATATTGATGTTGTGAAAGATTCACACCGATTTACATTGGGATTATGGGAAAATCATCTCCAATGATGTGATATATTTCTATATTAGGCTTCTCTACACATCCAGGACAAGACTTTGATGATGGGAGTCGGATGACTAAAAAATAACATCAACAATATCGCCTGGGTTTTTTTTGTTTTTTTAAATGTCTTGCTATGAAAATGGTCAGGACTCATAAGACACCTGGGAGTGAGACACACACAGACACGTGCACACACACGCACACATACGGTGCTTTAGTTTTTCACCGGTATAATGAGCAGGTGGTTTGTTATTGTGCAGCCCCGTTAAAAGCACAACAGAGCAAGAACGCGTTCACAAACTGTATTGTTTTGCGTGTGCCAAAGTAAAATGAGAGAGGGGAGAAACAGATTGCTGGCAGAGAAAAAGACAGAGGGGGGGGTGTGGAGACACTAATGAAGGTTACGGGGAAGGAGAAAGTATGAAAAAGAAGCGGAGAAGAAATGAGTCTGGAGTGATAAAAGAGAGGAGAGGCAGAGGGATCGTTGAGGAGTCTCTCTGGATTTGTAGAATCCCCTCAGCCGTCGAGTTTCGGGACAAAGTCACACTGACACACTTTCTGGGCTCTCCTTCCCTCACTTTATTCTTCTGTCTTTCTCTCTTTCTTTTGCGCTGGTAATGAGAACCGTAGGTGTTCGCTGACTGTCACATACCGCAGAGCGCTTAACAGTGTGGGTTTGCTCACACGTGCACACCCACACGCCATATTCTTGGACCACTGCCAGAGTGCCAGGACTCCTACAGTGTGATGCGGAAATAGGAGGAAAGCCAGGGTCATTTTAATGTTCTCCACTAAAAAACACCCATGCTTTATGACACAACCGTGCATCTGCTGTTGTTACATATAGGAAATGTGGATCTTTTTTTTTTGCCTTCAAGGTTAACGAGCAGTCAACACTCCACGTGTAAAAAGAGGAAAAATAATAATAATTGACTGTACAGATGTGATGGTTGCATCCACCCCATCATCTAACGTGTTCACTAAAATGTCAAAATATTTATTCATATTGCAATTGAGTCAGCCACATCCTTTTCATTTTTCAAAACAACTGCTCTTGTAATTCTTCTGTGGGTTAAGATATTCCCTTTTCGTTTTCATCAGTCTACTCATTTCTCTCTATATAAAAGGAGCCTGACCTCTTCAGGTTTTCCTTCAACTAATGGGCTCATTTTCTTGCACTTCACCCAGGCAGACAACACAGACATCCACCATCTCATTAGAGCATTGGGGCATTCAGTCAGAGAGCATAATGAGACCACAGCGCTGTAAGTAACGGTCATGAAAACAGCGTGTTGCAGAGACTCGGGTTATTACGGTTGTGATCATGGATTTCTTTCATTGTACTGTGGCCATAACACGATCGTCGACATCAAAACACGGACGACAGCCTCCCTGTCGTCGCACACAAAAAGAGTTGATTTCCCTCCCGTGCTATGAATGCACATATTTTATACCCGACTGCACAAATCAAACTGGGGTTTATGATACGATGGCAGTAAAGGTTAGAAAATAAAACCGACCGCCAGCAAACGTGCGCGTTCCCTGTACGCTGTATCCAGTTTCCTCGCTGTCTGTAACCGTATAAGGTACTAAATGATGAATGAATCCTCGCTGCTGGCCACGCGTTCAGCCACTACTGTCATTCAACAACAGAGGAGACCCAGAGCACGTGTTTCCCCTACAATAAGATCCACACATATCTCTGCTGTAGAGAACAGGGACCGACAACCTTCTTTCATCTTACTCTATTATTTGAGGACATAACCTCAAAGGATTGACGGTTATTCTCTCCGAAATAAATTTGAGAGAAGAAATAAACATCTATTCTTAAAAGAGTAGTACATTGGAGATAGCTGCTAATCAGTGGATTCACACCTGCTGACACTATCGAATAAACGTATTCCAGCAAGCAGCTCAGTGTAGCATTATAAACATTTATGGAGGTAATAATGAGTGTCAGTCCAAATACGTCTTACGTTGTATTTCTCCCTATATCTAATCCTATGGACTAAAGTGTGGTACAGGTCCAGTTCTGACAGGCAACAGAGATGAACATATTCAGCCTGTTCTTTGAACTGGATTGCTTCCAGACAGACTCCCAGGCGAGAGAAAGATGTGATGAATTCCACCCGGAGCCGGCGCGTGAAAAAAAAAAAAGAAAAGCCGAACTTGTCCTCACATCTCCGGCTGCTATGAAGAAATAACTAGCACCACTCACTTTGATGGAGAGGAATATACACACACACCCGTACAGACTGTACACTCACACCGACTCTGCGTCTGGCTGCTTGGAAGTAATTCATTTTTCTACCTTTCTCTCATGTCCCTCTCCCCTTTTACTGCTCATTTCTCCTCTCAACCTGGCTGCTGCCTTTCTCAAAATAACTATGACTTTGCCCCGTTCCCTTTTTTTTGGGATGGGGGGGTGGGATTTCGTCTCACTTTCTTGCTTTAATCATCAACATCATCACTGCCATCCTCTGGACCCTTTCGCCTGGGGGTTAAGCTCATCTCGCTGACTATTCCCGCCGTGCATCTCCTTCCTTCAGTTTCACTTACCTGTGCAATATCATACAGCAGTTTGTAGTGTTCTTCCCGTTTCTGCAAGGTGCACAGATTGCAGCCCATCCTAGTTGTCAGGGAAACCGCGCTGAGTGCCCGCTGGAGTGTGTGCGCTGTCTGCGGTGTGTGTGGGAGCTCCCCCTGGGGCGAAAACACACTCGGGCTCCTCTTCCTTGGCTCCCCCACTCCTCTTTCTCATCGGTGTATCCTCAGAGATCTCTTCTGTTGCCCCGAGCGCAGGAAACACTCTTTCTCCCTCTCTCACACACACACGCCCACGTGTGTCAGCTCGCTGCTTTAGTATAGGCTATGCCAGTAGTTCCTTGTCTGTGTGTGTGTGTGTGTGTGTGTGTGTGAGAGGGAAGTGTGTCAGTAGCAAGATGAGCAAAAGCACCTGGCTTCTCTTTCCCTCCTCGCTTGTCGGTCCTTCTTCTTGTATCTCCCTCGCATGCCTACATACACATCTCTTCTCCGCCACCTCCTCTCTCAGTGTGAGCACACACTAATACGCTCACACACTTTTGGCTCATGGAGACACACCTCCTCCTGTGGCAGGCTGCCTACACATGATCGCTCCTGCTCTCGGCTCATGAATAGACAGCATCCTCATTGGCTGTTTGAGGGAGAAGGGCTGGGAGAGCAGGGAGGAGACTGGTCTTATTTCGGGTATCTGAACATCAGTGTTGTAGCTCGCAGGCGGTGTGAAGGACATGATGTGTGTTTGTTTTGTGTGCGGATCTGTATTTGTACACACAAGAGTGCATGTATTGGTTATCTGTGTGTACACATTTCAGCAGCGGGCAAAATCCATTACAATGCAGGGCATTCAATTTAAAACCCCCAAAAAACAGGAGTTGAAATGCCATCCCTGAAGTTAATGAAGTTACTGCGAGGGCTATTTGTCTGTGCCTGGATTTGACAAGTGGATTTGGCCTAGAAATCAATCTCATTTAAATTCAATCAGATGGCATTTTGCACTCAGTTCAATGGTCGAAGGGGTGGTGTTTAGTGGCCACCATAGATTAACAGTCAGAGAGCGATAGTCACTAAACAGATGCTCCTTCTCCACGCCGACAGTCCGACAGGGGCACAGGACTCGGCTAACGCACACAGGAAGAAACACGTCATATTGATTGGCTTCAGATTAGCTTCCAGCCCAACTGGCCCCTCTCCACAGGGGGGAGAAGAGGGAGGAGGGGGAGTGAAGCAGAAGGGGAGCGAGGTAGATGGAAGACTTTGGGATGTTCAACTGAGAGCACAGTAAAGGTATTACAAACCTGCTACACAAGGAATGCGTGTCATCTGAACATGTGGTTTGACCAAATGTAAAAAATGCAAATTGAGAACATTTTTCTGTAAACAATGTCTAAGCTTGAGTTGGAAATTTGAAAGAAAAGTAAACAGGACTGGTTGCATAGCATTTATGATTAAAGATCTCCACATATCCAAATATTCGGGAGTACCATCCAGTTTGTGTGGCACTCCTTTAGCAAGCCAGGCCAACCATCTCGTTCACCAAGGAGAACTATTTTTATGTAGTTTTAAAACCAAAAGTCAACGTTAAGGTATCTTAAAATAGGCAGAATTTAGAAATGAAGAGACTTTGGACCCAAACCCTGGTCTGAATGTTAACATTGTGTAAATATATATATATGTATATATATATAACACAGGCAACAATATAGTTAAGATCATGAGCAGAGAGCACAGATGCGTTATCCGCCTTTTCACTACTCATGCAGGTACAAGGACCATAGTGGTTCAGTCAAGGGCGTCAGAGCAGATCCAGATACAGCCCCCCAGATAACACTTAAGCCTTTCTCTGTGACCACTCTCGTCCCCTTCTGATGAGGTCACCGCTTTGCCTCCCGACCTCCGAAGGGGACTTCTCAGGGGTGGCATCACCGCCCTAATGAATTTTAGGGATCTCCCGATTCTTTTCGCTCGTTCTTTTTCCACTCTTCTTTCGTGTTTCTCCCGCTCTTTTTCAGTGCCGATGACCTGAAAATTGGGATTAGAAATGTGGCCGTTCTGCTCCTGTGATCAATCCTCAAATCTGAGTTGGATACCGACACATAAAGCTAAATCTGTCTCAAGACCACAGAAAAATACAGACTCACCCACATATACACATCAAAACTGTGACGTTTTCCATCTCATTCCACAACCTTTCAACCAAAGAAAAGGAAATCTGAGATGCAAGGCTTTCCCACAAAAGGTGACATCATCATTGTGTTCATTTATGGCCCATCACCGTCCTTTTTATTGTTCACCCACTTTCATCATCTCCACATTGGTCACTCCTTCATTTCATCATCCACTGCCACTGCATATGAGACACTAGACAGATGTCTGGATCATGTTCTCATATAAAATTTAAGAGACTCGTATAATTTTAGGAGGTGTGGGATTTGGGCCCGGCAGAAATTGCGTGTAGAATATTGCACAAACAGAATGCATTTCGTCTTCTTTGATGTCTGCCAGCCGTACTCTGGCAATGCAGCAGCAGAGTGGCGTCATACCTGTACGTTGAATGTTGGATTCATTCTGTGAAAGGTAGTTAACTTAAGGGTGAAGAGGGCTGAGGTGGCTTCAAAAAGCTGTACTGGTCAATTCAAATTTTATGGTAAAGTTCGTCAGTGGGGTCTGTCGCCAGTGAAAGGTTACCCAAAAATAGCTTGGGGGGGGGAAAAGTGTTGCACTTCAAAGGAAGCCCGAAAACACTACATTACCATAATGTCCTACATGACTGAGATGGAATGAAAATTGGCCACTCTACATGTTCCCTCTCCCACGAAAATAGAAACGCTACGAACCGTTTCAGTCTTGGGGTTTACGTGTAATCTGAGAATAAACTTTGAAAAAGAAAACTTAGCAGTCAAGTTTCTAGGTACGGCGGGTGATTACAGCTACGTGATTACTTCACCGCGATGTTCAAAGGCCACGGTCCCCTCGGCGAGGAGCAGAGCCGCGCGACGCGGGTAGAGGGAGTGGATCTAATCGGGAACAATGATCACGCTTCCAGTCTGTGCTCTGAGACGTGCCCAGCAGAATACCAACAAACTGCTGTTCAATAAATTACCAGAGGAAACTTTTCCTCTCGTCAGGTAGACTCTAAGTACTTTGGTGGCAACGCAGAGTAAGACGGATTGAAAACACCTCCAGGACTCGTAGATCTCGGTTTGATGATTATCTACATTAGTGTCCTTTATGATTCCTTTGGTCTTGGTTTTTAATGTTCAAAACAGCATAATATTTTACCTCTGGGAAATTGGAAACAGGGCTGAAAGCACATTTTGTATGATTTTAAAAAAAAAATAGGCTGTGATGTTAATCTTCAATCAGTTGCCGCTGAATAATGACAGACAGCTTTGTTTACTGCAATTTCGCGCTTTCAACTGCACATATGAAACGGCTGTTCTCAACCACCTGTGGTAAGCTTGCTTCTAATGTGACTTTTAGACATCATGCATGGAAAGATCAATGCAAAACGGCACCATTTGGGCTGCAGCGTTGACAGCTGGGCTTCTCAAAGCAATGCCGTGAGAAGAGCCTGAGGGTGACTCGATAGCCATAACCCATACATTATTTAACACTCTGAAGCGTTCATCTAGGTAAAAACATGATTAGAGTGCTACTTACAGAAAGCAGCCGAAGACCTAAAGGCCAAGGGGAAATGATGGTATGCATTGGTAATTGAAAAGCGGCATCCTTTTCTGTTTTTTGTTCCAGTAATTACATTGTTACTATTCATTACTGTCTAATTACTTTGCAGGAGGCCAGCGTTCAGATCCAATCCTCATAATGACTGTCTGTCCTCCGCTCATTGTCTCCTGATCCCAATTGTTGAAGCAAAACGACTGACTCTGTAAAAAAAAAAAAGGCAGAGCCTGCGTGACTCCCGTCACTTAATTATCAAATAATGAGCTGTTAAAAGAGAAACCAAAGGCGGTCAAGCCTACGAAAGTGAAGAAAAGAAAAAAATTGTGATCCATTCAAGAAAACACAGAGGGATCTTTTGTTCATAGTTTTCTGACTGCTAGTTGGGCAAAAACCATTCGTGAGTTGTCGTTGAAAGAGGATGTTTTAATGTCCAATCTTAGTTATGTCCCCCTTGAGCACCTGGGCAAAGCGAGGCATAGACACGCACACAAATCCACGCACACAAATCCACACATTTACGCGCATAAAGTGTGCGATAATGAAACCGCTCAGAGCGTCGCACCAGACGAACCGCGGCAGCCATTAAAACAAGTGAAATCACTGTTCAATCAGTCGCTAACACTTCCTTTGTCCCTGCTTCATTGAACAAGGCTATTTAGAAAAAGCAAACGGAAACATTTCTTGAAGCCGCTATGACCAAAACCCTCAGAAGGGCCCCTTTCTCGCTCACTATTCAATACAGCGACTTAACCACCGCAGTACAGCATCACCGGGGGGCAATACGAGACCCTGACAGTCTCTTTACTCAATAAGCAAGCAGCCAAACTGGCGTCTGACCAGATGACCTCACACCACGTTCAGCGAGCAGGGTCAAGCAGCCCATAAAGACGCAGTTGTCCTCAGGCCCTTGGATACAAGTTGAGATGTCCCTCCACAGCGTGAAAAGATCTTTGTCCAACTGAAAGTAATTTACCTGCTGCCACAAGTGGCTGTTTTACTGACAAAATAACATTAAAAAACAATACATTCAACTAGTGTTACTGAATTTGCTTTGGGGCTTGGATCAAGGGTTGGCAATGGCTTTCCAACACTTGGGTCCGGACTGAAATATCGTAACATCTATTAGATGGATTACCACAACATTTAGGAAAATTTGGGCGATTCAACCAGAGGATAAATCCTCTAACGACTTTTGATACTGTAAATGTCTCCACAGCTGCTGGACGAATGAATACGATTTTTGGGGGGTAGTTATGTCTTCCTCATGATGACTTTTGGTGAGATAAACACTCCTTACAAAGCAAAACCTTTTTTTTCCACCCATTTGTGCACAACAAATTTGACAATTGTTATTTTGACTAGTCAGCCTCAGTAGAATTCTCTATTCTCTATTGTTACAAACTAACCGTTGTAACAAGTTATTTCAAACATAATTCAAGCTAAACATTAGTATGTCAACATTGTCCTTTTCAGCACGTTAGCATTTAGCTCAAACACCGCCGTGCTTAAGTACGGCTTCACAAAGGAGTTACAGAGCTGTTATCACTTATTTGATTACAACATCAAAACAAACTAGAGCTCATCTGTCACACAACTGAGTCTCAATTTCCGTCCATGACCAACCATGAGTGTGTGTGTGTGTGTGTGTGTGTGTGTGTGTGTGTGTGTGTGTGTGTGTGTGTGTGTGTGTGTGTGTGTGTGTGTGTGTGTGCACATAAAAAAGAGAGAGAGACATTATCTGTGTCTAGCCTTTAGAGAGTCAACATACAGCAATAACCCTTCTGTGGACACATACATTTACACAAGAGTGTTTCTGGGCTCTGGGCCTGACCCTGGTGTGTTAACCCAATAGCATCGCTCCAATAAAACTGATTA